ATATTTTGATACTATATTAAAAAAATTGGCTTAACTCACTTCTAAAAGATACATATAAGAATTGTTTTAACATTTACAAAATTTACTTTAGTAATATTTATTGTGAATGTGAATTTTCAAAACTTAATTATAACTCTCGCTTAATAGCTAACAATAAATGCTTAAATATGTTGCAACTGTGTAAGTGTTACATTAAGACGCTATTGGCACCACTTCTCTTGTTTCATAATTAAAGAGTTTAAAATAAAATTATTAGAAGTTTTACACATATTTACTTAAAACTTATTGATAAGATATTTACATTTGTTAAAAATGTGACTATAGTATTTTTTTTTATAAAATTTATGCAACCAATTTTTCATAAACTGCAATTTTTAAAAATAATTTTAATACAATATCAGATCTCATTCAGTCTTAATATTATGTAAAGAAAAAAGTGAAGTTATGAATGTTGGCATATTGTTGGATAACATGGCATGATGGATTTTGTGAGACCCATATGTTTGAAAACTAGGTCACAAGTTGTAGGATGACAACTCGCGTGGCTAAAATGAAAGATGAAGAGAAGAAAAAGGGACAGTCCCAAGTGGAAAAGAGCAAATAATGGACCTATGGTCATCATCATTCTATAATTTCGTGCGTGGAATAATGGACCATCCCATTATCATCTTCTTCAAAAATGTCAGTTTAATGAAGGAGATTGAGGGCCATGACATCCCTTCAGTCTTTTTCCATGATGGGTTAGTTCTACTCAAACTTAGCTTCCCAATCCTATGTAATGGCTTAGGTGGTTGTCCCTTTCCACCAAAGAATCCCACAACTTCAATTTTTTGGTTTTAATGGAATTTTGATGTGTAAAATTGTTCCAAGGAGAGAGGCCAAAATGTTTTCACAATTTAACAACTCAATGCTTTACTTGAATCAATTAATAGTGGAGCAAGCTCAAAGTTTAGAATACATTTAAATTTTAAATGCCCTCAAATTATCTCATCAAAGTAATACAATATTCGTTTTCATTCATCAAATAACAAATTATATAAATTTAAAATTTGAAATATTTTATTATAATTATCTGATAATTTTTTTAATATACTCTTTACTAGTATGTTTCTTTTTTTTTTGTTATTCAATTAATATAAATATTTTTTATTATTTAAAATCTCTATACAACCAAAAAGATATTAATAAAAAATAATTAATATTATTTTTAATTTTTACATGAATAAAAAAAATTCTAATAGTAAAAAATAAAATTTGTTTGCTACACATGTTTAGAATTATAATTCTAATAGTCGGAACTAAAATTGAATAATATAATTTCTATATTTGAGTAATGCAAATAAATAGATATAAAATTATAATAAGAAGTGAAGGATTGATAGATAAAAATTACCAGTCTAAGTTATAGAATTTTATTAGAATATAACGAGAGTATTAATGTTTTTTTACAATATTATATATCTAATTATGGGTTGTTAAATGTACATTAACGATTTACAAGTTTACAAAATATATAATTTTTTTTATATTATCAATCAATTCAAATATATTAATAATTTTAATTTAAATTACACTATACTTTAATATTTTTTAAAAAAGATGCTAAAGTATCATTTACCACTTAAATATTTATTTAATATCAATTTAAATATAAAATAGCCCAAAACTAAACAAGTCTTAAAAACAACATCAAAATAATTATTTTATTAAGTTATAAATAAAAATACGAAATACTTTTTAGTGAAAGAACTTCATGATTTCATGTTAATACCCAATTTTCCAAATTCCTTCGTTTTTAAATTTATCATTTCATTGTATTATGTAGTCAATGGTGCCATTCCTGCGAGATGACAAGTGATCACATTGTTGACCAGACTGCGACACTTACGAGGTCACGTGACATTCTGCTCGATCGTATCTTTTATTTGTTCTGTTGAATTTAGTATTCGTACTTATACATATACAGTACGTAGATTAAATGAGAGGACTAGTTTTATTAAAGAGTCTAAAGGATAAATATTAATTATTAATTTTATAATGAATGTTAAATTAAATTGTAGCACTTTCTTAAAAGTTATAGATTATATTTAACTAAAAACCTGATATTTTTATTTTTAGATAAAATCAATTTTTTTACTAAATACATCACAATATGTGTATCTATATTAATGCATGTAAGATTTAGAGGTTTAAGTATTAATTCATGAAGAGGGAAAATGGTTTTGTAAATTTTATAATTTTTATAAAACTTGTAAAACACGTGTATTTTTTTTATTGGACCCTCGAATGACTAGAGAGAATTTAAGTCCTATGAATGAGACAGGATAAAATGCATGTTTGAAAACTAAATAAAACTATAGTATATAATAAAAGTTATATTATATTGTATTAAAATGAATGTACATTTAGATAAATTTAAGGTTGATTTAAACACGTTAAAAGAAAAATTACACGGACCAAACATGGTTGTTTTAAGGGCGAATAGGAGAATGGAAACAAATGATGGTACAGCACTGTATAAGCTGGACGTGATAGATGGAACCAAATATGAGCTATGAAAGGTGACCCCATGCATTATGGAGTTATCTGAAGCACTTTTGAAGTGGGGAAGAGAGAGAAAGAAAAGAGAGACAAGAGAATCTTTGGTGGGAATAATGACTACACTGTTAGCTTGTTCTTGCTTCTTTCCCATACTATGTTCAATCAACTTAGTTCATAGTTTCAACTTTTTACATATGTGATGGAAGCAAATGTTTGTTTTCTTTAAAAAGCTTAAAATTCTCCCAAAAAAATTCAAAGGGGGGTTATACAATGCTTCAACATTCATAAGAATATATAACACATTTGATCATATCCTATCTAATAAGTTTTTATTTATTTATTTATTTTAATTTTGTTTTTCCCAACACCTTCTTTTTCTCTGACTTCTCTGTCCCCTAACTCTTTACTCCCATCTTACCTTTGCTTTCCCATAATTAAACACCAATACCCACCATCTCACTGTCTGCTTCTCTCTTTCTCTCCCCATTCACTATTCCTTTATTTTTATTCCTTTTCAGTTAAATTGGTTTTTAATATTAGGAAAAAGGGACCCTCTTAGCTATCACTTTACCCTCTATTAGTGTTTAAGGAACATAAAAAACACACTAGCTTGTTTTGTCTTCTCATAATCAACCACACCAAGAGAAGCAACACTGGAAATACATGTCTCCAATTCCAAAGCAGTTTATAGGTGATCTCAGAAGCAAGCCACTTTCACTTGATCTTGAAACTTGAGAGAGGTTATGTAACACTCTTTTACTGTCATCCATGTACTGAACTGCTTCTTGTCTTCTTGTTTTGGTTTTCTCCTTGTCTTTACTCTCTTTCTTGGTTTCTGTACAAGTTTGAATCACTGGATACACTAAAATGTTTTCTGGATTTTTACCTTCTAACATTCCATCAACCCTTCTGTGCTTTAGTTTTGCCTACCCCTCCACCTATTACTCCATCTCCCTCCGCAAGGGTTCTAAAGTGACTTTCCTCACTTAACTATCACAAGTAATTCTTCTTTTCTTCCTTTATTTATCCTGCAGAAAAAGGAACAAGTATCTGCATGCAATTATCTAACTTGGGCTTTACAGAACTTGTTATTCCTCTATATTTATATTTTGGTTTTTCTTTGTCTTGTGTGCTGACAATAACATGGTAGTTAGTTACTCACTTTATCTTTTACTGTCTCTCAATGTTGCCTTGCACTCACAAACTGATAGTGTGCAAGTTTAAACTTGGATTTGGGTTCTCTCTTTGTCTCTGTCTCTTTCTCTTTTTCCCATTTAGTTTCAATATTTAAGGATTGATTGAGGTACGCTCTATTGCAGTGTTCAATCTCATCAGTCATTTGGTTCTTGGAAATCTATAGTTGAAAAGTCTACATATAGATTCCAGATTGATTTCAGATATTAAGTTTGTAGGTTGTTACAAATTAAGGTAGTAGGGACTAGGGAAGGATTTGATATCATGGATCCTTGAGAGTACTCAAACCAAGGTGAGTATGTAAATTCACTTTTTATTGGTGAACTTATAATTCATGGCATGTGAGTCTCTCTTCGCTACCTTACTCCTCAGTTTCACATAATTACACAAGAGTGGGCCAGATAAAAAGCACATATAGGTCAAGATTCAGGACCAGTTCCTTCCATGAAGAGTTCGGTGGGATTTTCTAATCTGAATTGGCCATTAGATATCCAGTTCTACGTTATATTTCAATCATACATTTAGGATTCTTGTTTTATTACATTTTGTTATCTTAGAAAAGTCTAAAGCAGCAGAATAGGTTAGGGATGGTGGTATCCCAGCAACATAAGATAAGATCTGCAAACCTTGCTTAGGAAGAGAGTAATTATTTAGTATTGCACTAGCCAATATTTGGATTATCTATGGTGGATTTTCGTTTAAAAAATGATAAAATAAAATATTGGAAAATTGTATTTGATTTCAGATCTACCATAGGTCAAACCATGAATTCAATAGATGTAGTTCTACTCAGCAATGTTGGGGTAAAAACTGAGAGAGGCTACAAAATAGATTTTAGTGCCTGCTTCTTTTACCATTTGGGTAGGCCAACTTATTGCAAAACAAGAAAAGCAAGTGCCTAGTACAACATGCTTTTTTAGCAGAAAGTCTACTCATCAAGGTACTTGAATCACATCACATGCCATCATTGCCATGTCAATGAAAGTGTGTATCTGCTGTGCCAGGCTGCCAGCACTAATTGTCTTCCTCCACAAAGGAAGAGATAAGGCATAGGATGTTTGTTTTTGGCCCATGCTGGATAACTAACAATCTTTCACAGGGTCAAATATCAACAGAAATCACTGAAGGCAAGAGAACGTTGCAAGGAGCTTGATTGCTTGTATCAGTTGTATGCGTTTAAAATCATGACTGTGGTCAAAGTGATTCAAGAATTTCTTGTTTTGATTCTTCTTAAACGTGAACTGATGGTTTTTCATTGCAGGACAAAACACTTCTTTCACTGCAAGCTCTTAAACGAATTCTTATTCTGATGGTGGATTGCTGCACTTATTTGGTTAATTAGCTTGAAAAATCGGGACACCTGAATCATGAAACAGGACATTGATCTTGAAGTGGAAGCCTCAGCAGAATATGAATCTGAAGCTAGCAGCCAGGTTGCTTCCAATATATTTATTCAAGAAACCTCTGCAGGTCCTTGTAGCGACAGCCTCACTAACTCTTCCACTGTCACAAATCCAACAGACCTTCATCCTCATTCAGATGCTATCTCACTTGACTTAACTCTTAACTTCAACAACAAAGACTTAGTGGTTAGAGATTCCACAGGACTCTCATTCTCAAGCACTAGTGAGAGCAGCAATGAGCCTCCCTCTCAAACTACTTCAGCAACCAACCCAAGAGTTTTCTCTTGCAATTACTGTAAGCGAAAATTTTTTAGCTCACAGGCACTTGGTGGCCACCAAAATGCACACAAAAGAGAAAGAACATTAGCAAAGCGCGCAATGAGGATGGGATTTTTCTCTGAGAGGTATGCAAGTCTTGCATCTCTCCCTCTTCATGGTTCTTTCAGGTCTTTAGGGATAAAGGCACACTCTTCACTGCACCACGGTTTTTCATCACCAATGAGGTCTCCTGAAGTGAAAAGTAATGCAAGATTTGAGCAAGGATATATCGGTCTTCCGATATTCTTGGAGGATGATGAGCCAGAACTGTTGTGGCAAGGTAGTTTCCGCCAGGTTACTACTGAGGGAACTCATAGTCATCAGAATTTCATACTGAGTGGAAGTTCAAATATGAGTTTTACTGGGGTGAATCCACCACTTGACGCAGAGAATTCAACACCTGAGTTAACGTTGAAACTTTGAAGCTTCTACTTGTCTGGTTTATTGTTATATTTTTGTACAGCAAGACATGCATTTAAGGGCTATGATGCCAGATTGATCATCATTATATGATACTTGCTGGCTCTCCTGTAACTTTCTTCTTCAGTTTTCTCTTACAAATATTTGCTTTGGTGTTTTTCTCTGTATGTTTCTTATTGTATAAGACCCTTGGAAGACAAGTTTGGAGGTTCTCTATGCTTGTCATATAAATCATGTTTTTTGTTTACTGTAATTACTGAGCTTCCACTATGTTTTCTGTATCTTATGTATCATACCTAGCAGCTAGCAATAGCAACTTGGTTGTGCAGGTGGTAATGGCTACTGATGTTGACAAATGAAATTCCATTCTTTTGACATGGTATTTGACATAGGATGCATTTGAGAACATAACTTTTTCTATATTAGGGTTTATTTATAAATTTGACCATAAAATTTCTTAGAATAAGTCTAAAACAACTTATTCTAATAAGTTATGCTGAGAAATTTATTAAAATAAGTTTAAAAAAAACTTATGAAAATATAAACGCTAACAAGAAAAAACATGGTGTATCACAATTTATTACCAAACCAAGAAAGATAAACACAACATATGAGATTAGGGGTTGCAACAGAGAGTGCACAATTACCAGATCAAAGAATCAAAGATGGTTCAGCATAGACTTTCAGTCTCATTTGGATAATAATAAAGTTGGATCTTAATCCTAGACTTAATGTCTCATTCATCACAACTCCATGCATTCATTATTTGAACAAAAATTGGATTTTCTGTCCCATTTTCTTGCTTCCCATGCATGAATCATGTCAAATATATCCATTTTCTTAATCCATTAGCAAAGTTCCACTACTTCATAGAACTGCGCAAAAATCTAATTGATCTCTAGGGATGGAAAAATAACATGACATAATAAAAATAGGAAATTATGACAAAATAATAAAATTAGAATAAAAGAAAGAAATAAGAAACCAGGACAAAGAAATATAATATATAATAGAATTTTTACATTTGCATATCATTTCTCTCTCTCTCTATTCTTATAATATTTAACATTTAAAATAGTGTAAAAAATGATGAGTAATTATTATAATTGAATATGATAGTGGTCCTACCATAAGTGTTTCTTCAGCTTCATTAACAAGCATGAAACGGATTGTAACGGTTACGCGCCCTTTCGGATAAAACGCACCGTTTTTTAGGTTTTTCTACTTCCAAAAGGCAACACTATTTGTATTCGTGCATCATGGTTTCATCTTCCTATGTAAGGTTCACTACAATTTCTTTCAAACGTGAAAACATTGAAACGCACCGTTTCCACTGCACACAAGTTTATTTCCCCTCTCTATTATAGTGAGTAGCGTTTTCATTTTTCATATTTTATTTTTTGTTGCTTGCAAGTTGTAACATAGTTTTACGAAGCACTTTGTGATTGTTACGTACATTCATATAGAGAAAGTTACAAATAAATAAATCATATGAGTTTATTTGAATCATTTTGCGTAGTACTGGCTGATTTGATTCACTTGGAATTTTTGCTATTTGACTTCAAATTTCATTCTTTTGCGTTTCATCTCAAATTTTAATTACAACCCTTTTATTCTTCTTGATTTCATATTGAAAGTTTCTCCTTGTTGTTTCTGGGTATTGCAGCGGCCAAACGTTTCAACAGATAGTTAAGTAACATTAAGTAATATACTTGTTATATAGCCATCGAAATCCAGATTCTAACATTAATGTTAATTAATGTTAATGATAGGACAAAAGGATACCGAAGATTATTTATTTATTTATATGTTTTCTTGTTTTAGTTGATTATTTTATATAATTAATCGGTTGCGCGATTTAACAGTCACTTTATTTTCATTAAAAGATTTATGTAACGTGTCCGAGTCTGAGTTTGGTTGTATTCACATTATTTTAATTTTTTTCTATTTTATTGTCGTTTTAAAATACTAAATATATCATGACGTGAAGTTGTAAATTATCTTTATGGATTATCTGAAGTCCAAAATTATGAAATTTTCTTACTTTATGTTATTTACGATTTATGACGTTAAGGAAACAAAGTTTAAGTTTCCACGTAATAACTTTAGTTTGCTTTTTGCCGACTTTACATTTCTTGGATCCCAAGTTTCTCTTTATATATATCCCTTTCAAGCATATCTCAAACCTTAAATTATTGTCACACTAGCAATTGTGGGAAATAGAGGATATGCCGAGGTAGACTTTCCTTAAAAAAAATTATTTTCTCACTCTATTTAATTGTGAAGTGCATGTACTGTATATTTGTGGTTTTGTTTTTTGCATTAGAAAGAAGGAAAGAGTACAAGGGATGAAAGTTAACATTTAATAGTTTTGCTTTTGCTTCAATTAGAGAAGGCCATTATGAGATTCAATTTAGCCATCTTCATCACTCCCTGAAGTTATCCCTTTGAAGATTCAAAAGGCACATTGGAACACGGTTGATTGGTTAAAGCTATAACCAAATCAAATCACTTCTTTTCACTAGATATCTGTTCATGTAAAGAACATGTCCTTTGATCAACTTATTTACATAGATGTCTTTAACCTTTATATTGAAATAAGACAACTCTTTAAAATCGAACGAAACAACACAAATTTTCATTGAAATAAATCATTACAACTTTTCATTTTAAACAAAGAAATACAACTCTTCACATTTTAAAAATTTCTCACAATTTATTGCTTAATTTGGACACACAAGTTAATATATGTGCCAGTTTCTCATTTTATTTCATATGTCGAATCTGAAAAGTATTTGATATTTCATTGAATTTTATAAAAGAATGGTGATTGTGTGGATGTTCCCCCCTAACTGTCCAAGTCATTAGCGTGCTTGCAACATGAGGTAATAGTTTTTGGTAGCCAAAGGTGATCAATTTATGGTGTGTTTGATACAGGATTAAGGAACTTCAACGTGAATTCTGATCAAATTCTCAAATGGGTCATGGAATTCATCTTCTTGTTTTCGTTTTGCTCTGTTTCTCATTAAGATGTGAGTCATGGGGTTGGTTTTCGTCATCTAAAGGGACTCCCTCTTGTGACAGGTCTTATGCCAAAGAAGGCAATTTTAGAGGCTCTAGTGCTGAGTTCTCTATTGAGGCCTTCAATGACCAAAAGGGTATTAAGTTAATAGATAATGCTAAAAATAAAATGATTGGCTCAAACACGTGTTGGCAAAATGCTTATCAACATCTTTTTGCTGGGTGTTCTGATATTTTGTCTATTGATGAGAAGAGGTCTAGATTTGCTTGGCACCTAAGTGATTGCTTTCAGAGGGATTCTGGCAGGCCTGCATTTCCTCATTGTGATCCAAAATCTTCCATTGCTTCATGCTTAAGAACCTTAGATGATCTTGCCCATAAGGTTTACCTTGAATTCTACCTTGAAACCAACACTATTTGTTATCAGTTACAGTTAAGTGCCATATATTTTTTTTCCAAATCATATTTTATTTCTTTATATTTTGATGTGTTTGTCTCAAATTAACTAAAGTTTTGCATACTTTTATGTAGGGCACATGCATTCAAACATGAAACGGAGAGACTTGTGACTGAATTAAAAAGTACATCCCAATATGTAGAGTACAAGTTAGATAGCATTGAAGAGAAATCAGAGCATCTATTACAAGGCTCAAAACAAATTCTTGATTCTCTTGATTCAATTGATAGTTATACACAAAAAGTAGCCCAAACTGCTAAAAATGTGGAAGGTCACATAGACACTGTATTAAGTCATTCAAAGAGTGTTTATGAGCAAACTACACAAATTGCATTATCACAATCACAGATAAAAGAAGGACAAGAGGATATAAAGAGAAACTTGGAGGATGGGGTAGCAATGCTCAAAGACTCATACAATTATTTGGGTAAAGAAATTGAAAAGTTAAGAGACGAAGCAATTGAGATTGAGAATGAGGTTATTAAAGTTGGAGATGCTATGTCATCCAAGATGAGCATCCTGCAAAGCAAAGCTGAAGATATTGGGAATATGGCTGGAATTTCCTTGGATAAGCAACAGCAACTTTTAGATGGACAATCCACAGCACTAAAGAGCCTAAATTCATTGACTGAGTTTCAGTCCAAAGCACTAGATGAAAGCAGGTAGATAAGTTAGCTACTTAACTTTTATAAATTTGAATTCACTAATTATTTTTGGAATGATGTTGATCTCATTGGTGTGATGCAGGAAAACTCTACAATATTTTGCTGAATATGGGCACACACAACATGAAGAGCTTCTTCGACGTCAGGAAGAGATTCAAGGACTTCATGATCATTTAATGGAAAATTCAAAATCAATTTTGTCTGCTCAGGTTTGCAACTATTGGTTTTATATATGTGTATATGTATTCTTAATGATTTTTTAATCTGGAATTTCTATTTCTACTCTACAGGAATCTTTTGAATCAAAGCAGGCTACCATGTTTGTTGCTTTAGACAAGCTTTTTGCTTTGCAAAATGCCATGCTGCTTGAATCAAGAATAATCAAAGCTTTCTTCATTTATTCCATATCAATCTTTGTCATCTTCATGTTGACTAGTACAAAGCAAACCTACAATATCAGGCCATATCTATATCTTGGTATGTAAACCAACTAATGCTTTTAGTTTATAAACCTCTATTTAATTATTGGCTAATTATCATTGACTTTTTACAGAGCTTTGTGCTACTTTCTTCATGGAGGTATTCATTATTCGTTTGACTAATGATAACATTGAGCATCAAACCTGGATAATAAACATGGTTCGATTATTTGTCTTGGTAGCTGCTTCAGTTCAACTTCTATATGCCATTTGCACATACAGGTAAATTGGCTATTTATATGTAGATTTTATATGTTAAGTTGGCTATTTATATTTAGATTTTATATTTCAGTTTGTTGTTAATCATGCAGGAACTACGAAATGTTGAACCATCAAATGCTGCTAACTCTAATCAACAAGGTTAACAGCATGCAAAAACAAAAGGAGTTGTCGTGGGACTTGGAGGATACTGATGATGATATGGATTGGTCTCAGTGGGTAGATGCTGATTTATCTGATGATGTGAATTGCATTGGTGATCCTGACTATATACTTCCTGAAGAAGTTGCAGAGAATTCAATCACGGTTTCTACAACTACAAAAAATTATAATCTACGCTCGCGCAATCGTTGATTGTCACCACCTGACTCTAGTTTTGTAATTAGACCATTGAGATCATCTGTTCACATCACCGTATTCTGTTAATTTGTTTCATAATTCTGGATTATGTAATAGTGTATTGTATACACGCAAATATACATTTTTTTTAAAGTTGTGTAATTAAAGTTGGCTACTTACAATGACTTAAATCCATGCACCAGAAACTAGTTGTGGTTATAAGTAGTTGAATTCTGATGGAATTTTTGCTAAAATTATACAACAAATCACGAAGACATGTCTTTCTGACATCGTTAATTTCCATTGCCTTTATATTGATGAAGTTCAAGTAAAAAGAAGCAAACGGGCCATCATATTCAATCATCAAATTTGTGAAATTTAAATCAAAAACTAACACCAACATCAAATTTGTAAATTTATGTTTTTCCAATAGTGTCCAGCTACATCCAGAAGTTATTATAGAGTGCATCTGATTGCATCGCATTGGATTAAGGAGACATTTAATGAATGTCATTATTTGCAACTATTTACAAGCAAACAGGTTTGAAGCCAAGCTCGAGGGACTTCTTCACAGCATCAACAACCAATTGAGTCTTTCTACTAATTTCAGGCCATTTGGTAGAGGGGCGAGATCCGCAATCTCTAACAGTCTCAACAAGCTTAGCAAACTCTTGAACCATCAAAGCCTCTTGAGGGAGCTTTGTAGCCACATGAACTTCCTCTGGTCTCACATTCCACCCAATGTGAAGATCAACAAACTTTGCACCAAAAGTGAAGTCAAAAGAAGCACTAGTCTCCTTGTATGGGATTGTGATGTCCTTGACATGAAGAGTTCCATTGGAACCACATATGGTCAAGTCCATGGAAGTGTGAGAAAGAAATGAACAATGAATGGTTGCAACTGTTTGGTTTGGTTGGTCCCATTGCAAAGAAGCAGTGATGGACAATATGACTCCAACATTGTTTCTTATGACATTAGGAAGAGCAGTGACAGTTGTTGGCAGTTGGTAACCCTTTGCCCACAAGGAAGCACTGATACAGTACCACCCCAAGTCACCAAGTGCACCAAGACCATCCAACTCTGCCTTTACTCTAACGTCACTCTCTAGGAATTCAGGTGTTACTCCCATTGTTGATGTACTATGAATCTTCAAAACATAGTAAATTCAAATTATGCACCCAGTAAATGTGTCAGAATATTAATTATTAATATGATCATCAAATATATTAATTCTTTGACCAGTAAAAATATTTTAAAATTTTTTAAAGTATTGCACAAAAATGAATATAAATTATAAATCACTTATTAAATAATAAATGAATTTGGTGTACTTACAAAATCAATAGGCCCAATATTCTTAGTAGAATGAGAAAGAGAGAGCAACTCTTGGATGTGGGCAGTTCTAGGGTGATGCAACCACATAGTACCATCCATGAACTGGACACCGTTGGATTCGCACGCTTCAAGGATTAGATCGAGTTCCGCCACGTCAAGAGCCACTGGCTTCTCCACCAGCACGTGCTTCTTTTTAGTGGCAGCCATAACCACCCACCGCACGTGCAGACTAGTGGGGAGTGGAATGTACACCGCATCCACAGATGGGTCCTCCAACACCTGATCGTAGCTCCCGTAAACCTTTACGCTTTCAGGAATTCCGTTTTCGGCGGCGAATTTATCGGCCTTCTCTTTGGAACGGCTCGAGATGGCGCAGAGAGTGGCGTTCGGCGCGAGCCCTATGGCTCGAGCCACTTTCCTAGCGATGTTGGCGCAGCCTAAGATGCCGAAACCCACCGTTTTGCTGTCCTCGCTCATGTTTGTGTGTTTCAGGTGAGTTAGCTATCAGTGGTGGCTATTTACTTCTTTGTGGGTTGGATAGTATTAACTCCTCGCAACTGCCACTTCATTTTATATAAACAAAACGTTTAATTATAATTTTATTTTATTTTTAATTATTTATATTTACTTTTTATAAATTTTCAATCATTTACATTAAGTTTTCATTAAAATTTTATTCAATAAATAATAAAAATATAACAAAGATATAATATATTAGTTCAAATTCACCAAAAAAATATAAATAATTAAATAAAAATTATATGTTTTATTTATTAATATTATTTAAATATTATATATATTATTAATTTATACAAATCAATAATATATCATATTTTTTATTTTATTTTATTTTATTATTTATTCGATATAATATGATGGTATGATCTTTTCAATAATTTAAAAGTTTTTAACAATATATGTGCATAATTAAAATTATAAAATAAATTAAAATATGAAGACTAAAAATATAACTAGATCTTATTAATTTATGATTTTAATTTTTAAACAAGGATCAATTTGTAACTTTAAAATGTTTTTTAAAGACAATTTTAAAATGTATCAAAATGCTTAGATGAAAATGATTAAAACAAATTAAAAAAACTTGATATAACGGGCCAATTTTAAAAAATTCATCTGTAATAACAATCGTATATAAAAATACAACACTTTTTTTTAAAAAAAATAATTTCATTTTTTTAATTCTCTTTCTACAAGAAAGAGAAATACTTTGATTCTATGGGGTTCTTTTTATTTGACGTCCCATGTTTTTGTTGGGCCTCGGCCCTGAACCATAAATAAAATAGCATCGTCCTTAAAATTCTAGGAGTTGTTTTTAACTTTTCATTTCACACACCCGCTAACAATTTCCTGAAGCTAAACTTTTCTATTTTTAAAATTTCTTATAACGTGTGATAAGTCCTATTTTTTTAGAGAATTCCGTCATTATAGTAATAATGGAAGAAAAGAAAACAATGAAGTGGATGCAGCAACAAAAAACCAATTTATAAAGAGATAATGAGTTCTTTTTGCTATATAATTACACTAAACCATGTGATTATAGATAGACTAAATGAGAAACTTTAAAATATACTATAATGATTTATTGATTACTAAAGAGATAATTAAAGGACTATTATTATCGTCTAAGTATCAATGTGTTAACTTGTATATCTTATAATATTTTAATTTTTACATTTTTTTGGTCTTGAGATCATTTATTGAATTAGGCTTGAAGAGTTAGGGAAGTGTTTGTGTTTGGGGTAAGGAAAATTTTTTAAGTTAAAAATCATGTTAAAAGAAGCTATATTTCGACAAAATGTTGAGAATTAGGAAGGAGCCTAAAAATAGGTCTAAACCTGAGAAGTATTAGAAAGTTATCCTTTTTGTTTCATATCAAAAAGGACATATTTTGAGATATTTTAGATGTTTTTGTCACCTCGTTAATTTTTCATTAAAACTGCTCAAAAAATAGGACTGACAAGAAAATATTATAAGTCCACAAAACTAAAGGCTTTTTTTGAGGAGTTTTGAAGAGTTTCCAAGTCACTGACATCCAAAACTGCTTGAAAAACATGACTGACAAGAAAATATTCTAAGTTTACAAAACTAATGGCCTTTTCGAGGAGTTTTCAAGTCTTTGAAATCCAAAACTGCCCGAAAAACAAGAAGTGATCATAAAATATTCAAAGTCTGTCAGCCTAGTTGAGCTCCAGAATCCCTCCAGAATTGCTCGAAAAACAGAAATAAACAAAGAAAATATTCTAAGTCTACCAGCTTAGTTGAGCTCCAGAGTCCCTCAAGAATTGCTCGAAAAACAGAAATGAACAAAGAAAATATTCTAAGTCCACAAAACTAAGACAAGCTCGCAAAACTTCAGAATTGCTCCAAAATTAATCTAAAAGAGAAGTCAAGGAGAAATTATTCTAAGGCCATAATACTAAATGAGCCTCTTAGATTTTTCCCAGAAACACTCGAAAGATAGAAAAACAAAAGTCTTGAAAAGTCATCGCAAAATCCAAAAGCGGTTACCAGTAGTCATCAATATTCACCACTACGCAAAGGAGATCGTGGGCGATAGGGGTTATGAAAGAAGTTCCAACCAACAGCACGATCACAAGCAATCGTGGATAATGGGTATCAACAGTTGAAGGTAGTTACTAAGAAGTGGCCGCAAAAGGAAGAGAACGGTGGTGGTTCTCCTGCCTATAAATACTCCAAAGCATCATTTTACAAAGGACGACTTTTTACACCCTAACACCGCACCTAAAATCTCTAAAATGCTGAAACCTTGCACCGACACCAGCTACTAGGAGACTCACGGTGACCACTGTTCATTGTTGTGAGGAGTCGTACATTTACAGTCCCGCATATTTACATTCCTGCACATTTACCCTTTCTTATTTTAATTTATGTTCCTTTTGCTTATTTCCTTGTCTGCAATTTAGTTTCTGTTTCTGCAATTTGTTTCCTATTTAGCTCTTTTCTGTAAAGAACTTATACGTTGTGATTTAGTTTTATGTGTTTCATATTCACTATTCTTGTTAAATTATTTATTCTGAAACGTCTATTTTACTGTTACGTTAATAACACACTTAAAAAAACTCAAAGAGGATCTAATTCAGTCCCCAGATTGCTCTTGGATTATTTGTTTACAGAACTGTCATTTTTCACTATAAATAGTTTGTAATTCATCGTATGAGGTCTTAGAAGAAAATTAATGTTAGCATTGAATTGTGAAAGGAGAAAAAATATATAAACATTAATGTAATTCATCGTATGAGGTCTTAAAAGTGTATAATCTTAATTTTAGAAATATTTTTTTTAGGAATAGTTAATAATTCTAAAAATTATTTTTGAAATGTGTAAAATCCAAATTTCATAAAATTATTTTTAAAAGAGTGACGATGTTGAAATGTTGATAGAGATAGATAAAGCTTCCATTTTTTTAAGATAAAATTAAACTTTTTATAATATATCAAGATTACTAATTTAGATTATTGTCAAGAATATTTTATAAAAAAAAATCACAAGAATTAATTAATAAGACATGAATAAAAGTTGTTGATAAAAAATAAAAAATAAGCTAGTTGAACTAAAGTTAAGTTAAGATAATTTATATAAAGGAAGTGAAAAATATAATTAAGACATTGGGATACTTAAAGATAAGTGTTACTGAGAAAACAAAAGAAAACACAAGTAAAACATACAGTTAATATCTAGAGGTCGCAATGTGAAGACCATGTTTGAATAATTATGTGAAATAATTAACTTAGCAAAATTATCTCATAATTGAAAACAAAATAATGATTAATGGGCCCACGCTACCAACATAAATTAAAGAAAAGATTTCATCAATAAAACGTTGAATGAGAATTTTAAGTTGCCAAAATATAAGGAAAGTTCAACAAGAGAAGACAACTAACAACTAACAAGCCTCTTTGAATAAGATGATTTGATATGTTCCACTCGTAACTCAAGTTTATGCTGGGAAAAAGGATCAGAAGGAAACATAAGGAGGATCGTTGATTTTTATTTTTTTCTCAATAGAGTTTCTCCATTAAATGATTTAATATTTTAATTTCTAATTTTATAACATTCTCGAATTATTTTTATTTTTTTTACTAAAAACATTATATTTTGTTTTTATAAAATATTACTTAGTTTAATTTTTATTATACTTTTGAATGTAAAATTATGATTAAAAATATTTTTTATTCATAAATGAAATATTTATTACTTAATACTTATAATTAAAACTAACCTTGAGAATTGACATTAATAAAATTATTGAAAAATCAAATTTAAGTATATATAAGTAAACTCATTAAAATTAACATATAAAGAACGCATTTACAAGAATAACAAAAATAAACATATAAATCCGTTCACCAAAAGAAATATATTAAATCCTAAAATGGAACACGTTGATATCCTTCTTTCCATGCACATTTCACATTCGTGATTATCGATAGTAATTTCTCATAATTAAATTAATCACTTGATTATCAACCAATTACGCTTCAAGAAAGAAAACTCACCGTCGAAACAACGCGCAGTTTAATCGCTTCACTTCAGTTCCAATGAGCATTTGTTTCTCTCTTTCACGTAGGTCGCAACAAGAAGCACCGTCGCAACGCATCGAATGTTAACGTACGTAAACCTTTGCAATGGAGTCAGAATTCCCAAAGGAATTGCAATCCAAAGCGTTCGAAGTTCTAAGCTCAAATGACAACAGCGCAATGGAAACTCTCTTCACACACATTTACTCTCAGCAACACCAACATCAATCCCAAGCACTCACATTCCTTCAATGCTGCAAACGCCACCACCCTGATCTTCTTTTTATCAAGCTCTTCTTCCTTCTACGTTGCAGCCCCCACGTCGAAACACGAGCCAACGCTGCACGCGCCCTGCTATTCCTCAAACCCGCTGAACTCTGGCCCAAACTGAGGCCTATCGCCCAGGCCCGTCTCAAAGCCCACTTCATCACTTACCTCACGGAAGAATCTTCAGTCCACGTCCTCAGACTCGCGTCACTCCTACTCGCTGAAACCGTTTCCGTTATACACAAAACCCACCAAAATTGGCCTGAGATTCTCGACTTTTTGTTGTCGTCTACCGCTTCAAACGCCGACAACTCCCGCGAGCTCGCGCTTTTAGTGTTCGCTAAGTTACCAAACGACTGCCGTTTTCTCGTTTCCAACGCGTTCCGCGAAAAATCCGGCGCCGTACGCGCGCTTCATTCGTCGTTTTTGACTTCCCTTGCGTCGTCGAACCCCGACGTTCAGGTCGCGTCGTTTGGCGCCGTGGTGAGTCTCGTGCGCTTGTTCTCTGAACCTTCGCTGTTCCACGAGCTCTTGCGCGCGATTATGGTTGCCGTTTTCGCGCTATTGCATGGCTTCGAAGGTACCTATTTCCGAAGCGCGTTTGCGGAGTTGATAAATTTGGTTTCTCAAGAGCCTCTGCTTTTGAAACCGTACATGAGCGACATGGTTCTTGACGTGCTTCAGATCGCGGAGAGCAATAGTTTGAATAAGGAATCGCATTGTTTGGCGTTTGAGTTGGTTATGGCAATGACGGAGGTGAAGGAGTGCGAGCACGTGTTTCTCAACGTTCCTCAAAAGACCGTGCGTAGGTTGATCTCTGTTCCGATGAAGATGCTGCAGTGCGTTGCGGAGGATGATGGCCGCGGTGGCGGTGACCGTGATTTGGAGGGTACGAAGGTTGATGTGTACGAATTTGGGATGAAATGCTTGAAGAAGCTTTGTGTCGCACTCGGAGGGAGTAAAGTTGTGCCTATAATCCATGAAGTGTTGCGCCTTCACTTCGATGATGCGCAATGGAAGGTTCGCCATGCAGGAATTACGATGCTAAGTTTGATCGCAAAAGAGTTCTCCGATGAAATGGTGACGTCATCATTTTGTGCATTTTATTAATTTTTTTTAAAATGCATGTATAAAAAAATAATAATTATACACAATATCGTATGTAAAATTAATTTTTAAATATTTAAATAACAGCAATTGTTTTAAAATTTTACAGTTTCATATTTTAATGTAAAAAAAAATTATTATTAGATTCATGTAACCGAAGTACCTCACTGAACTGCTACAGTGTTCACTATTCATTTTCTTATATTTTGTGATGATTGGGTTTGACAGCCAACGGTGATTTGTTGCAGGTATTGATGGAGAATTTTCTAGGTGAAGCGGTGACCAAAGTTTTGAAGTTATTCCAAGATTCCAATGTTCAAGTTCGGTTGGCAGCTTTTAATTTTATGGAGACGCCAACGAACTTTGTTCAGGTGGTGCAAATCTTTTACCATCACAGGCTTGTTCAAGCTTTTTCCATTGCACTCGACAGTGATCAGGACCATAAAGTGAAGGTATGGTACACATGCTAAAGCTATTTACCAAGTTCTACTACTTTCATATTCCATTAATATCTGCTTCATCTACTGAAATATAATTACGGGGTAAACAGCTTAGAAGTACTTCTACTCCTTATTTGACTGAATTAGTTCAGTTTTAGATTCATTTCACTCGTATGTTCACATATGAATGAAAATCTTAATGATTCTTCTAGTAATTTTTTGGCATGCCAATCATAACATAAATAAAAATATGTAGACTAGAAGTGAAAAGGTACCTGCTCTCATTATGATCAAAAGACTTACCCTTCTACTTTTACGTATGTTATTATTTGAAACCCAACGATGCTTTTAATTTTGAAAACAAATGTGTTTTTCCTCCTACAGATGTGTTCTATTTACTTTGTATTGAGTTTCACAAGCCTTAGGACACTGTTGAATTTATTCCCTTTTGATTTTTAAATTTCTATTGTATCACTGTTAATACGTTTCTTATACTGTTAAAGGAGATACCTTTAGATTATATATATATATATATATATATATATATATATATATATATATATTGCATTTAAAAATATTCTAAATGTTCCCTGGTCACGTTGAAATTTTAACAATTTATCCTCAAAACTCTTTGTTTCACATCACTTCTCTTTATACCTTCCTTTAAAGTTTTTAAAAAAGTGTTTCATTACTCTCTTTTTATCTCTCCATTAGGTGATTTGACATTTCATAAGAAACATAAGTGAGATTAATTGTATTAAAAAAGTGATGTGAAAACTTTATCTTTTAATTGTTTTCTTTCAAATGAATATTTAGGCTTTAGGGTGTGAACATCGGCAATGCTTGGAACTGGAAGCATGGGCAATGTCGAGATATTTTACTCATTTTATCTCCTACGCTTCTATTCTTCATATTTCCACTCTCATCAAAACCATTATTAAAGTTCTAACTTGTATCTTCTTTAACTGATTTTCAAACACGTATTTTAAGTTAATAACCCATGTTGCTTTTTTAGGAACAAGCTGCCTCAGCAATGCTATTCTTTCTAAAGAACACCCTGCCAGAAAGCTTGACATTGAACAAGAATGTGGATACTGTAATGGGCAACTTGTTGTCATTGCTTCTAGTAAGAATTATTATCTTACAATATGCTGGATTTCAGTGTCTGTGGAAAAGTTATTGCATAATTTTTCGTTACTAATTTAGTAGGAATCCTATCATACCTACATTATCCATGTAAAATTTTCTTCCTGAATTTTCCATCAAGGTTCATAATATTTTAATCCCCACGACCCAATCATTATTATGATCCTCTTATTTGATGTTTTCAGCCTTCTGCTTACAGGATAAAGAAAGTGCTAAACAAAGACGTATTGCTTTGTCAACTTTTAACGTAGTTGCACAACGGTGTCATGAAGTGGCTCAGAAGTAGTATTTTTTTGTATTCCTTTTTATCCTTCTTTTTTGTTGATACTTCTATAGATGTCATAACGATGATACATTATAAAAATGACTATTTGTTTCACTTGGTAGGTACTGTGCAAATTATCTTCCGTTCTTGTTGGAAGCATGCAATGACAAGGATTCTGAAATCAAAGAGGTTTCCCGCCTTGTGCCTGCTTGGTTTAATTCTTCATGGAGTTGTTTTTTTATCCAATTATTTATTTTGCTCCCTTTTCAGGAAGCAGCTAGGGGAATTCGAATTTGCGCAGAGTTTGGAACACCGCAGTTGAAGCCTTTTGTCAATAGTATCTTGTTTGTTCCATAATTTTCCCAATGTATTATTAATAGTTTCCCAACTAAGATTTATTTTGTCCTTTATAGGGATATTGGCAGAACTCAGTATTTTAATGAAAGATCCAAATCGATCACTTTCAGAGAATGCAAAAGCGCATGATATTGCAGTTTCCGCTCTAGGAAGAATTTGTGAATTCCATCGTGAATGCATTGATGGCTCTAAGGTATTTTTTTTCTTCTTTCTATTGTCATCTTTAGAGGTTATTCGAATCTTGTTATGTCAAATGTATAAAAAGTTCGGTATAGTCTCTAAATAAACTTGTTCGAACCTAATTTTATTTACTTATTTATCTGCAATTCAAAATTAAGATTTCATGATTCCGAACTAATTTTTATTTTGATAATAGAATAAGAATTGACATTAAAATACTAAAACCTAAACTCCCAATCTAATTTTATTCATTGTCAACATAGATCTTAATTTTTTCCACGAAGTACGAGACTGCATTCACCTGTAAGAAGTTGCATGTAAAATATAGGCTGCTTTATAATTTCTACACGGTTCTGACTCTGGGCATTACGAAATGAAGGAGAGAAAGAGAGAGCAAATAGCCAACTGATTCACAACTGGTCTACTACTGTGCTTTGTTTAGGCAGAAATAAGTTTACTGATTTCAAGATGATATATCTGAATCTGACCAGTTATGTGTTTGTTCAATTGGGGGAGATTTACAAAATAATGAAAAAGAAAGTACAATATTTTACCCCTTTTATATTTGCAGATTGTTCCTGCTTGGTTAAGTTTCTTGCCACTTAAAAATGACTTGATCGAAGCCAAAGTTATGCATGAACAGCTTTGTTTAATGGTTGCAAGGTGAGGAAATTTAAAAGAATCTTCTGAATTATTAGCTTTTCAACTTTCAGTACAACACGTAGCCATGTCGGTTTGCTTTAACGGCTTGCTTTAATATTTTTCAGATTAGACAAGGATCTCTTAGGAGCTGGTAATCAAAACCTAGTTAAGATTATTACAGTGTTTCTTGAGGTGAGTTATCCACATGTATATGCCTATGCACGTCTGATTTCATTTTTCTCCTGTTTCTGCAAATTTAGGGATATTTACACACTTGAAAATTGTCAATTTTGCTACGCATTATTGTTTAAAAATTATCTAGGAATTGGAAATAGTTAGATTAGCACACTCATGACTCATTCAAGCAATAGATTAGTTCAACCTCAAGTTTTTTTATGACTACAATTACATACATGAATCAAGGAAGTTTACAAAGATTGAAGTTATGTTCTCATGTAGACGAATTTTGTGTAAATTCACAATTCCATCTATTACCTGGATATGATTTGACTTCCATAATCAATATGGATTGCAAGGGGGAGCCTTGACATGGTAGTGAGGTTGCTGCTTGTGATATGATGGTCACAAATTCTAATAGAGAAAACAGCTTCTCCCTCAAGGGCAGTAACTTTAAGAACATTTGACTCTCCCGAAATCCCACAATGGTAGGAGTCTCGTGTACTGGAATGTTCTTTCTTTTTAAACCATGGATTGAACGACTTTACCATTTGAGCATGGACATTTTGTTGCTCCGCAAAGAGTTGTTACATCTTTTGAATTGTTTATTCCATACACCAGAAATGAAAACAGCTAATCACAAGAAGAGGGAAGTAGTTGCAGGAAGAGTTGGAAAATGACTATTGTGCTCTTTTTTCTCTTTTTTTTTTTTTAATTATTATAATGGAGGTGGCTAGATATGCTCTGATGCGATGAACACTATCTTTTGACTACCAGCTTGTTGATCATGTCACAAAATGTAAGCTGAACTTCATTGAGATTTTTCATCAATTTTGAATTTATTTTGTTGGGTTTATCTCACGAAACAATTTTGCTGATTTCTTACACTATATAAACATTCATTCAAAATTTAGTGAGTATTGATTACCTTATTTTCTCTTATATCTGGCTGAAATTATTTTTCTTGTAGGTTATTGATCAGGGAGACAAATTAGCTACAGCACAAACAATCAAGCAGATGAATAGTTTGCTGAGGCAGCTTGGGCGGCAAATACCACGTAGTGCGTTTGATACAATTTTATTGTCTTTGAATGCCCAGCAACGGGAATTACTGTTGCCTTTGGTAACTTCCTAGTCTTTTTTTAAAAGAACAAAAAATGTATATTCTCACGTTAAAAGAACCAAAATTGTATATTCTCACGGAAAAGCACGTATAGTTTACTTCACTGTGAATACAATAAGATCGATCATTGGTCATTGAATTAAGAGGGTCCAATTTCGATGATCGTTACATAGCATCCTTACAAATTTTTTCGAATAAAATTTGAGCTTTTACTATGAACAAGGACTGAACCAAGCTTTGGGTGGAGAAGCTTGTTGAGAGCTCGAGATCGAAATTATTTTATAACCAAAGGATCAAGGTGGAGAATCGGTCATAGGAACTGCTTGCCAACCTGGCTTTAGAGTTTGGAGTTCTTGTCTTCCGGGGAATGAGAATTTGAATGAGTTTTCTTTTTCATCAAGATCTTTGAAAGTGGAGGCTAGATACTATTGTTCCCTCTTTCTACCCTTCGAAGATGATCAAATTATGTGCGTCCCCATTGGCTCTCGGTGACGTCTTGACACTCAGTTGTTGCATTGGGATAGGCATGATAAGTATACGATTAAGTCAGCATATCATATGCTATCATAGGGTGTTACAGTAGATGGCATTTGGAGAAAGCTTCGGAACTTAAGGTGCCAGAAAGGGGTGAATGTGTACTGAATGTCCATGTCATGATGTCAATATGAAGTTAAAACAATAGCCCAAGTTTTCATAAGGGATCTTGCTAGATAAAATCCAATTTGGAAAAGTAACTAGCATAGGAGGTACTTATTGGTCGAGTTAAGTTGAACTTAAACCCTATTTGATTTGCCACCTAATATATATTCTAGTTGGATTAGATATTTTAAAATTTGTTTCGTTCGTTCATGTCTTTGGCCCAATTAATTTTATTAAGCTCAGGTTAACACGAAGAACTTGGTTAATGAAGGTCACACACTATATTGGAACAAAATCAACCCGTAAACCTCAAGTTTTGAAAACTATTTTTCTTTTCATTGAAGAGTTCTATTTGATTACTAATCTTTCCCTATAGTCGATAGCAAATAGCAAATACTACATGCAGGAAAAGAAACAAAAAAATCCTCATCCCTTGGCTGGGATGCAGAAACACATGACAGTACCGCCATACCCTTTATAAATGCATTCATCTAGCACATAAGAGAAAATCTTTTTTATTTCCTTAAAAATTCTGAAAATTTTAAATAGAAAAGGGAGCAAGACAGTTCACGCAAAACATGATGAGTAAGATCTTTGCTCTTGTCCTCGTCTGAGACGACAATTATACTGTCTCTTGCCATGGCATGGCAACCCAAGCGCCATGGTTGAAGAACAGTGTAATAGACTCAACTACCAATAATAATAAAAGAACGCTAACACAATAGCCATTTATATGTATTGTTACTACTGCCTGCAAAATTACCATCTTTTCATTCTTTCAATAAACAAACCATCAATAGAGATAATTAACACAACAAAATGGGAAATCAAAAATAAAATAACCTTTGACATTAACAAAACCAAGATTCCATAAAGTACTATATAAGGATAGAAGAAGCTTTTGTTCATTCCGTCATGTTATCCTCCTCATCTTCTTCCTCACTCAGATCAAGATCAGCCAACAACTCCTCCAATGGAACAGAAGGTAGCTCATCACCATCCGTCACTGATGCCATCTCTGATGGGTGGTACTCTCTATTTCGGTACAATGATATGTTGAACCTCAGATCAGGGTTTTCTTCCAGATCTTTTAAGAATTGTTCATATTCTGAGTGCATTTTGTCTTGATCAACTCTACCCTTATCATCAACCTCCATGTCAAGTGATTTGAGCTTCCATGAACGAGGTTTCCCACGTTTCTTCTGGCGCTTCTCTTCATAACTCTTCTTTATTAGAATTGCTTCAGGAAGGACAAGTCCTCTGTACTTCTCCAATTCCATGTCATTACTGTTAGCCCCATACAGGTCATAACCAAGAGCATAATCACCAGGACTTAAAAGATGGCCCAGATGAGTCTTGACGTTAAATATTGTGTCGTTCTTTCCAAAATCTGACACACGAGCCACTTGAGCATCTGCCAAAACATATTTTGTGCCACCAATGGTAACCTCGGATGAAACAACCTCGACATCCAGCACTATATATTCCACCAATTGTCTGCTAGTAAGTAAAGACTTGAAGGATGTCCTCCAGTACTGATCAGCATCTAAAAAGCAGTGCCTCAAGGTAAATGGATCGAGCAAAGCAATACTGTTGGTAACCTTAGTACAAATCACAATAGGACCAATATTTCCCAAACTAACAGCAACTTTAGGAGGCAGACAGATTAAATCCTCACGACAAATGGGGCTGATTTCAACAGAAAATGTATATTTGTAGTTGTAGTTGTTACTCTTTGGATCATGAGAAACAAGCTGCTTATCGTGACGGCTCCTCACAGGGGCAACCTTCCCTACAAACTCCACAAATTTGACTCCATGACTTCTGTTGGAGAAAAAGAAGTCAATACCTTGATCCATCTGCTTGATTCTTATAGCACTGGCAGCAGCACCATGCTTCAGAATAAGCTGCTCCAAATAAAAGAATGTACGCCGGTGAGAAACATGTTGCCTGAGTTGCACAGCAGCAACCCACTGGTCAGGGTTAGCCTGCACCCTAGAACAAGATTCACACATATGTTCCTGTTGAACATACTCTACTGGATAAGACTGTTCGAGAATTGCTCCATTCAGAACCTCCTTCTGAACTTTGACCTTGACTTTTATCCTCTTGGAGTGGGGCTCAGTCCAAATAAATTCAGCATGTACCAGCCTTACTTTATTCGAATTTAAATTCTTCTGCAATTTTTTCAAGCAAAATGTCAGCAGCTCCTTTGATTCAAGCTGTAGTTTGACCCAACTCCTTGGTGGCTGCAAGTAACTTTCACACTCAGGGCAATGCACAAGCACTAGACGCTTCAATAGTCCTTCTGTAATATCAACTTCTGAGCGCAAACACTTCACACACATATTAGCAGCATTTGGTTGCATTGGAATTCCACATTTGCAACACAAAACACTGCCAATTGTTTGATGAACCATGAACATACCAGCATCTTCTGCCATGCCTGATGAACCTAACATAATGATGTTCCCTGTTTCATTTTAAACAAATAATAATAATAAAAAAGAGCATGAGTATGCAGCAAAACATTTTGATAGGAAAATTAAGAACAAAGAAAAGAAAAGGAGCTCTGCAAAGAGGAAGGAGAGTGAAACAGGAAATAGCTTAAGGAGTTTGTTTAGAGAGAAGGGCAGGAGAAGGCAAATTTTCAATTTTAAATAAATATATTTTAATTTGATAATTTTTCAGAATAACAGATATAAAAGGATAGCTTAACATGAATTTAATATATTAATAATTTATTTATGATCATAAATGTTGTCCAATTCTCTTAATTTAAAAATAAAAAATTTATCCTCCCTTCCCTTACCCACCAAAACTCCTCTCCCAAATAACCCCTACAACATTATGCTACGTACACTGTTCTTGTAAAAATCCAAACTTCATGTTCAAAACTTAGGCTATACAACTAGTAATCGCACTTCATACGTTGAAATAGTCTAAATATAGGTGAAATCAAATGCAATTGCACAAATATCATCCTAAAAGACCTTTACCACCGATGCTATGGATGTCCAAATAATAATAATGATAAAACAATCAAAATAAGGAATGAAACAATAAACGAAACAAGTACCAAACTGTCGAGTAAAAACTTCGGTAGCTTGAAAAAAATACAATACACCCACAACATAAACCATTGAAAATTTTATTTTTGAAATCTGGGAAGAAATTATGATGGAAAAAATAAGAACAGGGAGCTCAAAAAGAGCAGAGAAGGGTTTCAAACAAGGCATTCACTCACAAAAATATGAACAAGAAAAAATAAAAGGCTCAGTGAAAAGCAATGAATCGAAAAACTTACTGTGTAACAAAGGGTTATAGAGGAATAGATCACTTCTTTCTGATGAGACCGAAGATTAAGGTGAAGGTGAAAGGTGAGGCCGTGAAGGTGAAGGCGGTGGCGTAGGCACATTTATGACACTGAAACACGATCAACAAAACCAAGTTGGTAACAAAACCTCGTTTTTTGGGTCAACTCGTTTGTGTTTTTTGTCTGTTATTATTTTGCTCTCATGAAAAATGGAGGCCCGAAAGGCCCATATCTAAACAGTAGCCCAGACAAATCAGCAGTGTCCAAAATAAGCAATACGCCACGACCCAAAAAGAGAAAAACAATACGCATATCAGAAAGCAAAATGTTAACTAATGTTTCAAGAGTATTAATTAATTCTCTAACTCTTATTTTTAAGTTATCTTTATTTAAATGTTTTAATTTTAATTATTTTACCTATATTTTAAAGCACTCGTGTGACATAGGATGTTCATTAGTTTATAATTAAGATTCAATTAAAACTCTGTACAGACATCATTGTAAATTTGGCATATTTTCTGGACTAAATAGAAATAGAACTACTTAACTCTTCAACGTAAAACGACAAGAAAGAATAATTAAGATTTTAGCTAAAGAAAAAGCAATTTCACATCAAACAGTGAATATCAACTAATTTCATGTATATTTTTAATAAGCCAATTTCAACTTAACCTGATGTTATGTTCAAATGTCGGTTCAAGTTTCAATAAATATAATTATATTAAATGAAAAAGACTTTCATGCCCATAATAATTTTATTTAGATTGAATATAATTATCTTAGATTAAAATTTTTATGGTCTTTCATAAAATAATTATGCTTAAATTTGAAAGTAAGACAGCTTTCTCCCTTTTTATGACCTCTGAAATTTGTGCACAAAATAGAAAAATTTCTTTTTTAAAAAATAATATATATTTCTCCATCACACAAAAAAGAACACCGAAACTGACTTCAAACTATGACTTGTTTTTTACACTTGTACTGTAGAGAACGAATCACACCGTCCACGTGGATGATAAAGCTGAAAATGATTTGCCGACGTGCTTCTCAGTCTCTGACGTGTCGAAGTTTCAAATTAACGCTAATTTATTAAACCCGTTTCGCAATAAATCCAAACGCGGGACCCTCTTAGATGCAATCTACTCGTTATTGATTCGCACTGTTTCTCCGCTCTCTCTTCATTCTTCACTGTAACTCAAATGGCAGCAGAGAAATCCAACGCTAACGGCGTCTACGTAGAAGAAGAAGAAGAAGAAGAAGAGAAATTGAAGCAGAATAAGGGAACGGTGAAGGAGACGTTACCGGAAGTTCTTAACCGCATCGCTTCCTCAATTCTGTTCCCGGAACCCGCCGATGCTGGATCCCTACTTCGCCGGATCAAAGTCTCCGTCGCCGACAATGCTCCTCTTATTCCAGAAGCTTCTAGAAACTCCGCCAGCAATGTTCTCCTCTGGACTCGCCGCGGTTCCCCCTTCCGTGCTCTCCTCGTCATCTCAGTAAGAAAATTTCAATCTCATCTTTCTTCGATTTATGAACTCACTCGATTTTTTCATTCTTCAAATATTCATGATTGTTAATCAAAATTATATTAAATATGATGAAATTAGGAAACCATTAAAGATCGTGCATGCTTGTCACTTGTCAGTTGGATCATATAAATTAGGTTAAACTACATGTTTTCTCACTGTAATTCACACTCATTTACAGGTATTTGAAAAATTTACAATTTAACTTTTATATAAGTATTTTGTTAAGTTTTAATTTTTTTTAAAAATACTAATAATAAACAGTTATTTTTGTTAACAAGGTTATAATGTCGGAACAAAATGTATTAAAACAGTTGTGTTAGACTAAATTTTAAATTTTTTTTTGTTATAAAAACTAATTGATAAATTAGAGTCAAGAAATTAAATGTATATTTTAATCAATAAAGTAATATCAAGTAAAAAAAACTGTACGATATTCATATCAAGGAAAGATTTAATCTGATGAGATAGTTTTGTCTTTTGATTTCAATGTTTATGATTTGATTTGTTTTATTTGTCTTTGTTGGTGCAGGTTGGGACAGTTACTTTTGTTGCTTTGACAGGATTGCTTGTGTTCTTGCTTTTCTTCGTGGCTGCGACCATAAATGCCATTCTCATATCGTTGTTGATGTCTTTGGCAGCAGCAGGAGGTTTCTTGGCTCTGTTCTTTGCTTTTGTTACAGCTATATACATTGGAGCATTATCAGTAGCCATATTTGCTATTTCCGTTGCAACATTTTGGACAATTGTGGCTGTTCTGATAATCACAGGTAAACAAGTTTTTGCTATTACATGTGTCTGTGAAAACTTTTATTAGTTGGGTTGTGTGAAATTTAGTAGTTTTGAGTTCAGTTACAGACTCATCTTTTCAACAACATGTGTGGCTCTGGATAAGATTTGAAATGATATAAACTGGGCCATTTTGTTGCAATTAGACAGATTTTAAGTTAGATTAATGAATTTACAAGCAAGGTAGTCAAAATCGAGATCCTACTTAGGATCGGAAGGAAAAGAAAAACACGTAACTTGTAGGATCGTAGAGTGGATCGTAAGATCCTACCTAATGTAGAAAACTATATTTAAACATATAAATGTACACAAAAGAAGAAGATAAATAAGGAACAAATAGTCTTAAATTCATAAAAGACAATCACAACTCAAACATTAATGACAATAAATATATTCTCAAGTCAATTACGCATAAAACTCAAAATAGTACTAAAGTAAAAGCAAACTAGTCAAAGTGCCAAAGATTGGTATTCTTTATTCTAACAAATTATTCAAGTTTTGATCATAATAATCATCTTTTATTTGGTCTTCATTTTCTACATCTCCAACTCTATCAAGGTCATGGATAGAAGAAAAATTGATTTTACTTGCCCTTCACTCTCACTCTCTTGATAGGTGAAAGCCACCTTAGCATCATTGGAATCATTTCCAACTTGACCCAAGTATTCATTTGGATTCAAATCCAAGTCCAATAAGTCATCAACTTCTAAATCATCACCATTAGATGAACTTTCATTGGCCATAATCCATTCATCATTAGATGAAAGATCACCAAGATTAAACTCCATAGCTTTTCTGGATGTCTTTTTTTTTGCCAATTTTGAGTTAGCCATCATATAAACAATATCATCTATAGTTTGTTGTTTCAAACAATTTCATCTCTTTGTGTGGACTTAAAAAATATATAAATACAATTGATTATTTGCTAGTTCTTAATAGGTAAAGAAAAAGAATGCAAATACTCATAGTTTTAAAATTTTACCATCTCAAAAGCACTCTAATTACGCTCACATCCATAGGAGCTACATGTCAAGCACAATATACGAATAACAAATCTTTGAAGCTTTGGATGTCCATCTCTATAAGATTCCCACCATTGTGCTGGAGTTTTGATATTAGTTTTAAGTGCATTTAGGGCTCCCTTGCCACAAAAAAAATTCTTTTTTGCCTTGAAATCTTCAAATTGAGCATCAATTTTAGTCATTTCTTCATCATTTTCTACTATACTTTTTATACAATCATATAATTCACGTTTAACTTCAAAATCTGCTTTAAAACCAGTATTGTAGTGTAAAAAAAGGTTGAGGTAATAGGCTGCAGCATGCAATGGCCTATGGAGTTGATTGTCTCATCTTTCATCAATGACATTCTATAGAGAGAGATAACTAATATATGAAAAAATTAAATTAATTTTCAAACAAAAATAACTAAAATTTTTAATTAAAAATTTAATAATTTATTTACCTTCTTTGACTCTCATTGAAGGTCTTTGCTATCTTCTCTTTAGCTCGGTCCATTTCCTCGTAAAGGAATTCCATAGCTGGAATCTCATCTGAATCAACCAAACGAAGAACTTTGATTATAGGATATGCACCTCTTAAGCAAACAACAACGCCTTTCCAAAAAGTTTTATCCATAATAACATCTTCAACAAACTTTTCGTCTGTTGATTTAGCAAATCGACTAGTCTTTCATTGATCAGATGTGAATATTCTAACTAATGTTCCCTTATGTTCTTAAAGTCATCTCAAAGTAAGATAAGACGTAGCAAAGTGAGTCATGGCTGGTCTCACCAAATCCTTTTTCTTTGTGAAGAATTGCAATAAAGAAATTACGGAAGTCTTTGAATAAATATAAGTAGTAATTTTTTTTCTCTTTGAGATTGTCTCTTGATGAATGGGTAACTTCTTCTCCAAATCTTCCAATATCAAATCTATGCAGTGAGCAGCATATGGTGTCCAATACAGTTTCTTCCTTTTTTCCATCAACAATTCACTCGCAGCCTTATAATTTATTGCATTGTCAATTATAATTTGAACCACGTTTTTTTCACCAACCTCCTCTACAATGTCATCCATCATTTTAAACAATTTGTCAGCTGTTTTAGATATATGAGATGCATCAATATAAGTCAAAGAAACTGTACCCATAGGGCTGTTAACTAAAAAATTCAATATAGTTCTCCTTTTTGTTGTCGGTCCTGCCATCCGTCATTATTATGCATCCTGTTTTTCTCCATCTTTTCTATGTGCTTCAATAGCTTGCTTGATAACATGATGTTTTAAATACTTAACTCTGATTTTATGATAGGAAGGTAGCTAGAATCCAAGCCCATATTTTGTCATCAATTCTAATATCTTATAAAATTCTTCACTCCTTGTCACATTGAATGGTATGACATTGTTGTAAAAAAAAGAAGCAATATCTTGATACACTTCTCTTAAATTCTTTTTGAATATGTTATTGAGAGTGACTTGATTACCTATTCCTCTCTTCTTAAAAATGTTCCCACTACCTTCAACTTCACCCCCTTTTCTTTTTTCACTAAAATCACCACCACCACCATTCTACAAGAAGTTCGTTGAATTTGCTATTTGATTTCTTCATTAATTTTTAACTTGTCACATTTCTTTCCTCACTTCATCACTAACCAAAGAGTAATCACTCACATCTTTCTATGTTTCGGCAAGATGATGTTTTAATCAGTAAACTCCACCAGTTATTATTTTTCGACAATAGTTGCATTGTATTTTTCGCGCATTTCCATCCACAAATAATCCATGCTGTTATGCTACATCACTCCTCTTTCCAGGAGCATTTTTTCGCAAAGAACCAACCACGACTGCACCAATAGAGCAGCTCACTGAGCCAGTAGAAGTGTGACCAATGGTAGGACTTGCAACCACTCTCCTACTTTCTGGTTGCCCTCTCTAGATTGCAAGTGTACTTTTCCCACGTGCAGACATCTTCAAACAGGGCAGAGAATGGGAAAAACAGATTCGTAGTGTTGGAGAAGAAGAGAAATGCGCATCGCGAGTCTGAGGAAGAAGGGAAGTGTGGATCGCAGTGCTGAGGAAGAAGAGAGTGTGGGTCAGGTGCTGAGGAAGAAGAGAACTCTGCGTCGGCAGTGTTGAGGAAGAGAACTCTGCGTCGGCAGCGTTGAGGAAGAGAACTCTGCGTCGCAGTCGGCGGTGCTAAGGAAGAAAACTCTGCGTCGTGGATAAAAGGGCAAGCGAGAAGGGAAGAATGAAAGGAAAAAAAAAAAAAAAAACCTAACATCTAAGATTACATAAGTCGGGTAAAAAAAATAGGCCGGGTCAAATCGGGTAATCGGGTTTTTTCAGAAAATGGGGCTCCATCAAACTTGTCCAGGATCGCATGCTTCCACAATTTCATAAGGAAGATCGTGCCATCCCAGCAATCTCGAAAAATTGTGTCACAGGAACGTGATCGGAGGCGCCGCAAAAGACCGTAGAATTGTCCGATCTTACGATTTGGATCATGATTTTGACTACAGCGTCTACAAGTGTTTGTTGTCCTTCCAATTGTGGAAAAGTACTTGGGTATACCAGCAGTATGGTTTTTGTTTCTGTCCTGGTTGCTGCAAGTGGATGTATATGCATTGATCAAATGGGTGTTTACATTTTGCATATAATTGAACTTGTATGCATTGGCCTTATCTTTTGATAAAACCACCGACTGAACTACTAATGAGCATGGGTGATGTGATGGGTTATATGTTCACTATCATCTGAATTTTGCTTCACTCAGCAGCTTACCAGTCAAATAGTTGCCATAGACTAACGTTGCCTGGTGTGGTGGATTTCTTAGAATTTCAGCAAATCATTTCGTATTTATTCTCTTCATTCTATTATGTTGATGTTTCCTTGATGGATTTTTATAATGTATCTTTTTATTTATTTTTATTTTATTATTATTATTATCATTTGTTTCACTGTGGATTAATACTAATGTTGCCTGGACATGGAAATCAATATTTGCTAGGTTGGATTGGATTCATTTATACGGTATGGCTGGTAACTAGAAAGAGCTTTGGAATTGCTAAACACTCCTTGGGCGTGACTGGCTCTGCAATTTCATCTTACACTACTGTTTTGCATGCCCGCCACCTAAGACACAAAGATTCAAATTAGGGGATGATCACAAATTTATGTACAAATCTTAAACTATGTATCCGTGTGTTTTGGAATGACTCAAGCTTCTCTTGGCCGGTATAAAGCCTTGTTCTTAGACTTTCAGAGTTTGGTTTCAATCCCTATCTTTTATTTTGTACTTATGAGCTGAGAGATGTTTTGATAAATAAGCCGGGTTATTGTGTGTTGTGTTTGAAGTTTGATGTTTACAGTGTTTGAAGTTTGATGTTAGCATAAAACAGTAGCTTTTCTTCTGTAGCCTACCTCGTTACCTAGCATAGTAGTACAAGCAGATATTAAATTACATTTATGTGTAAATGATGAAATCTTGAAACGAGGTATAATGCTGCATTTGTGGGAACAACTATGTACACTTGCTACTTGTACAGCCACACATCACACAATATCACATCATATTAGTGTATTTATGTTTTGTTATAAAGCTTGACTGCAGAATTCCGATTTGGTTTTCTTTTCTTTTTTTTTCTTTTAATTATTTCACCTAAGATAGGGATTTTTCCCCATCGCTAAGACACAACCAAAGCAGGCAAAATTTTTTTTGGTCAACACTAAAACAAGCTTTAGACTAGCACAAAACTTGGAATAAAGGGAAACACAAAAGTTAGATCCAGACGGCAAAGCGATTCAGTCAAATTAGTAGTTTATGCCTTATATTTAAGTCATAAACTGCTAATTAAATGTCTAGCCTGAATAATGTTTAGCCATGGAAATTAGTAGTTTATGTCTCATATTTAGACATATCTAATGTGAACTACATCTAGAAAGGAAGCCGGTAGGCATGGTTAATTTTACGGGATTAACTTCATGTTGATAGTAGGAGAAGGGAACTGTTATCATTTCCGTTGTTAAATGCATTAACTGTTAATTGTTTGTGGGAAACCTTGATTTCATGCAATACATATAACCATGAATTCTTGGGGATCGAGGAAGGACGAATAGATGACACTTGAAAGATGACTTATTTTCAAGCCCTGGTTGTATGAAACTATTGACCAAAAAGAGAGAGGGTCGAGGTTGGTCAATGAATACGGCTACTATATATGACATGCACGTTGCGTTTTATGAGTGCCACGGGGATACGCAAATTAGAAATAAGGTGTTATTTTTTTTTTTTATCTTGTAAGAATGAGAATAAGGGTAGAAATCCAAATAAAGCCCCATAAAAGCAAGGCCTTTATGCCTATTAATTTGGCAACGTCATTTGGTCGAAAGGACTATCTTTTTGTCAAAGGTTTAAACATAATAATATTAAGAAAAGCAGCAAAGCCTGAAGGCACACAAACAATGGGCTACAAAAAGCTAAGCTCAAGACCAAACAAATTAGTAGTACACATGGATACTCCCGACTAAAGCCTAGTACGGATATGGTTATCTTAGAAGTTCTATACAACCGGTTTTTAGGTCCACGAGAAACATTTTTCAATTAATTACAAATGTGGAATAAAAATTACCCAAAACAAAATGCAAATAAGAGTATATCAAGTGGCCGGAAGTTACCTTGAGTTACTGGTGGATGCCACGGTAGGGTCGGAAGTTAGTAATGCAGTGAAGCACAATGCAAGGATAAAATATATGGAAATTGAAATTTTCACTGACAGAGTAAAGCCAAAAAAAAAAAAAAATCCAAATTCATCACTACTGAGAACTCATTATTGTTAAGTTTTTCACTTATCCTTAATTGTGAGAACATTGTTGTGAGAACTCGATGATGTTATTGGAATTTGGGATCATTTACAAATTATAAAGTTAATAGAAAGCATAAAAAAGAAATCGGAGTTTACCATTCAAAAATTTCAGTGTTAGAAAACATTATATTAATTAAGATTAATAATATTAAAAGTCAATAATATATATATATATATATATATATATATATATATATGTGTGTGTGTGTGTGTGTATAAATTACTAATTTATTAGTAAGTAATATTTGGAGTGAAGTTTTTTTTTCTTCTTAAAAATAGGTCTCGTTTTATCATCTTTCTACTTAATTAGCAACAATTCTCTCTATAGCATAAGTCATTGTTTAAAGAAAATATTGAATAAGTGCTTTAATAAACAATGCAAACACACGTTAAATACATTTTGTCATATCAACTATTTGTATAATGTGATGAATCTAGTAAGATTTTGAATCTTATGATACACGAATGAATTAGTATGATATTATTTTCCTATATGAACCATAAAAAAACAATATTTTGTTATTTTTTTTAATTTTTACTCTTTTATATTAAAAATTTAAAATAAAAATAAACCTTGAATACTCTATTTGAAGGAACATCACTAATCTTCTATTGTCACTTATTCAAATACTCTATTTTCGTTAATTTGAAATACTGTCACTAATTTTATGTGCTTTAATTGATAGTATTGCCGTGTTTCTAATCTTCTAAAATAAAGGATTCATGTGTTTAATTATGACTTATGATTCCGTAAGACTTATGATCATTTTCTAACGTAAAGTTATTATAGTAAATACTATATATCTTTTATATAATGCATCTAAATCAATTTTTTTATACGTTTTTATTTTATTTTATAATTTAATATAATTTGATTCATAATTCAAAATTAAGTTAATGATTTACCATTTTGAATCGTGATTCCATAATTACTATAGTAAAAACCTAAACAGGCTGGCGTAATTCTTTTACACCTGGTTCAATGGTCTGTTTGACTTGTACATAATGCTAAAAGCTTGAGGAATGTGTCTTGTGATTTAGTTAGATTATTGGACTTAATAATCAAGGGAATTAGATTGTGGTCCTGATTTTCATTATTCCCAAGTAAAAAGTCATAACTTGACCTCTTTTGACCAGTTTATTAGTTTTATTGACTTTACCGAGAAACTTTAGTTGGATGTGATTATATACTGGTTGAAGTACTTCACGTACAATCCACACACACACATATAGAAAAGATGAAGAACAAGAGAAGAAAAGGAAAACTGGCCGATTAACCAAAATAAAGTTTTCTATTTCTTCCCTCTCCTCTCTATCTCTCTTCATTGTTCTTCTACATTTGCAGCTACATCAGCTTCTTCCTATACCTCCTCCTCACCAATAAATAAAAAATAAATACAAGGCTACACAAAATTGTTCATGATCTCAGAAAACTTCCGAAATGAACATAGTAGAACTATGTAGGGGCCTTTTAATTTTCTTCAGGTTGACAGAATTTATATATATATATATATATATATAGCAATACCGCCTCAATTTAATGCAAACTAGCCAGAGATAATAATGAAAGTTAGGCTTGTCCTTTGCCATTCCAATCCGGTCTGCCTAATGTGAATTCCAAGCTTGGGTTCTTGCACTCTAAACTTGATCCTGACAAACTTTTCTTGAGTTGAGTTGAATCACACTCCTGATGTAAGGGAAACCATCATTCATAAATGATATATATAATACTAACAACAAACAGGTGTAGGCCATGTTAGTACCTGAATTTGATGCCCTCCTGATATTGGTTGTGACTGGAAGACAGGTGGTCTGAAACCATCTATGTCATTAGAACTAGCTTGTGGCCATGGTTCTCTACTGCTGATCATTGTCATCAAAATCAGAAGGACACAAGCAAGTAAAAAAATTGCATCAATTAGTTCCATTGCTCCCTATATGATATTTGTTGAATTGCAATGCCTTGCAAAACTCCACTATGTGTATGCTTTGCGACAAACTAGACTAATTTTTATTACAAATTCACAATGGAAAGAACTATGGTAAATACTTATGATCAGTGAGAGTGGAAATAAGAGCATAGCATTCAAATCATGCTCGTGCAATAAATTAAAGAAGAATGCAAACAGTTGGATTTAAATGGCTTAAAGTTTTTTGGTCAAATCCATTCTTCATTGTTTTGGGCAAACATAGGATCCTTTCTACACATTTCAATCTTAAAAAGCACACCTAAAACCATAACATGAAATTAAATCTTATATTTGTAAAAATATCAAAACCATAATTGTTTTTTTGAAGCAACAGTTCAAGATAACTGCAACACAACAAGATATTAAAAAAGATACCCGCTGTCTAATCACTGTTACAAAAATCTTCTATATCAAAATTAGTTTATCTCAGTGGTATTAATTAGGTATATCAAGCCCTGGACAAGCAAGCTAATTTCGCTTCTACTAAATTTGAGTTCAGGACATACATTTGCATCACACATATAAGTCATTTGCGAGATGTGAATCACACTACATTCAGAAATTCGAAAATTGTCTTATATTTGAGATCTACGAAAGAGAAATAGATTTCATGGCTATAAATAGGTGAGATTTTTATTCCCCCCCCCCCCCCCCCCCATGAAATTGGTTTTGATCTATTATGCATAGTCTTCTATTTTTATTAAAACCATCGATTTAGTAAGAAATGTATATGTAGTTATATGATATATCGTATATAAATATTTAGATTTTGGAAAAATAAATAGAAAATTTTTTTTGAACCGATTTATTAATTTTAGATGTTAAATTATTTTTCTTTGCATGAAATTTTTATTATCTTAAAAGGGCATCGGTTAAACCATGCCTAAGCCAATATATATTACAGTTATGATAAGCATCGAGAAAATTAAATTTATATTTATGTTTTTCTTTTTAATAAGCACCATCAATGTTCACAAACACACTACAACAAAATAAAAATAAAAAACAAAGGACTCATGTACGATATATTTATATGGTTAGGCAAGGCACATGCTAACTGCCAGTAACAATACGTACAATATAACTCCATTATAACTTACGATTACGGGCCATGCTCGTTTACTTCCAACAAACCTGATGTTTATTTAATGAAATTTTTAGACCATTAGTTTATGTGTACTAATTCAACCGTGACAAACAAAAGTGGTGTTGGACTAAAAGTCTAATATAATATACTGAATGAGAGAAAAAGAGGCCTCTTATTTATCAAAAGATTATGGTGGCTGTACAGATTATGAAAAGAATGTCTAGTGTCAACGTCAGAAATAGTTAAAAATTAGGAACATTTTTAGATAAACTTGCTGGAAGACAGAAAAAAAAAAGGGTTACATGCTAAATCTTTACCTGTAAGAGAGAAAATTCACCCCCTTGGAATGTTAATCTATCTTTTGCTTTGTATAAACCTATGTATGTATCTGTATGTTTTCCGTTGTCATGCTAATCAATTAGTTATTCTAATATAATTCGTACAGTGAGTACAAGAGAAACTATCCAGCGTTACAAGTAGTAACACACTGTATAATATGTTTCGAAGGAAAATATAATTGACTCCCATTTAAGATAGAAATATGAAGTGAAGAGAGAGAGAACTAAAAGAAGTGTATTAAAGCGATAGAAGAATAATGAATGTAAAAAGGGGTACAGGAATATTAAATTAAGTTGTATTTCAAAATATATTGTTAAGTAGTATTAACCTTGAAGGACAGACACACTCAACTTCATGAAGGATTTAACCATTTGAGTTTTATTCAATTGCTGAGAATAACAATACTTTTTACACTATTCAAAAGTTAAGACCAAATACGCATTGAGAGTAGTTAGTATGTAGTAATAGAACACACGGACACACAATTCCAAAGGGAAAAAAGAGAGGGGGCAAAAGAAAAGCAAATTAGAAGCTGTGTGTTGCTTTCCTTTTATCCTAATTAACGTTGGATTATGTCTTGTAGCTTTCTTTTGACAAACCTACCAAAGGATACAATATCTAAGGAGGAAAAAATTAACCGAGGTACAAAAGATCTATAAAGGAAACAAAAGAAAGAAGAAAATCAAACACAAGTAAAGCAAAAGCTGCCACAAGAACCCTTTTTATTCTTCATAAAAAAGAGTGTGGTGGACGTGGGTTTGCATTGATTTCTAAGAGATACCATGCAAAAGCAAAAGCAAATCAAGCAACGCAGTATCCCAAAATAAACAGTAAACATGTACCTCTATATAAGAACATAAAACATATGAACAATTTATGGACTCTAAAAAGAGAAATAGGAATTGATAATGATAATGGTTAATTAATTACCTTGAAGAATTACTCCATAGCGTGGTGGTCGAAGAGTAGTCCATATCTTGTTGCATTGGTCGATCCGAAAGGCCTCTTTGATCTGAAAATTGACGCATTCCACCACTGCTTCCCATTGGAGACATGTCATCTTCTCCGGATCCATCTGAAAGGCCTGCACCAAAAATAATGCCTCAAATTGAAATTCCAAGATGTTTGTATATATTAATATTAATATATGTGCATGCATGCACGCATCTTCATGATAATTATATAATTTGTTTGGAGTAATGTGGAGTCTTATTGGACATTGATATACCTCGAAGAAAAACCTTGAAAGGTTTGGAGACAATGTCATTAAAAGGTAAGAGAAAATAGAATGAGAAGAAAGTAGTAGTTAAAAAAATATGAAAAGAACAAGTGACATTTTCATTTATTTAGTTTTACATAAAACCGAAATAAATATTTTTTGTGTAAGAAAAAAATAAAGCTGCCCAAAAAAGAAAGAAAAAATGAATGAAGGTTAAGCAATACGAATTACCTGAAGAAGCAGCAGGCTTGTCAGTGGTCTTAACAGTTCGATACATCTGGGAAGAAATCACAAAAACATGGCATTTTAATATTTACAAAGACATTTCCATTTCCACACTTAAAAGCAAACTAAAATAATAAGTACACATAAAAAAAAAATCCTATAATTAAACCTATTCTTTTTCAAGAAATAAACTAAAAAAAAAACTGGTGATTCCCATTTAGATGCCTTTCCAATCACACACACACTCACACACTCTCTCTCCCTCTTCTATGTTATAGCCTCTGGATTGTCTGGGTTTCCTCATTAATCACGAGGTTGATGTTTGATAAGGTGGTAATGAGAAGTGTATTATTGGAAAATGATGACTTTTGTCTGTTCTCTCTCTCTCTCTCTCTCTCTCTCTCTCAAAGCAGAAGCTGTGTGTGTCTGGTCGTTTCAGACGATAAAGGCTCTTACTTAGCTCACTACAGTCTTTAAATTCATCCACTCCCACATTCACTGCTTTCTTCATCGGCTACCGTGCCGTTTGGACACACCAAAACAAACCGCCCCACAAGAGAGAGAGAGAGAGAGAGAGAGGCCAATTATCATACCTGCAAATGGCTTTTGACATGAGCTAATGTGAGATCCTTCACATCCATGAGCTCAAGAACTGACTTTGGCGTAGCTCCTAAAATTCACCATCAAAATACATTAGCCAAAAGCCTAAAAGAGGAAAAGAAGAACACAAGAACAAAAAAATAAAATAAAACCCACCTAATAGTCTAACACACATTCTTTCAATAAAAGAAAAGAAGATACAAAAACAAGTGAAACTAAAGTCACGTTTAGAAAATATATTAAAAAAAGGCATTGAAATTCGAAAGAAGAAACAGTGGGAAAAAGTTGGGGAAAAAAAAAAGATAAATAATTTATTATCTCTTTACTTTCATGGCCACCCAGAAGCTCAACAGCATGAACAAATCGAGCATGGAGTGTACTTGTCCACCGCATTCTTGGTGCTCTCATGCTCCTTTTGGTTGGCAACTTTGGCAAAAACCTTGATCTCATCAACCCTGAAGAGGCCTCATGAGAGGGTCCAAGTCCAACCCCATAGTGTGATTGTGATGAATGATGATGGTGCAATGGATGATGAGATTTGAAAACCTCCCCCGGAATTCCATTAAACCTTGCTGCCGTCGCCGCCCTATAACCTGCCGCCGCCGCGGCAGATCCGCCCGTGTTCAAAAAGGACATGGGATCCAAGCCTCCTACCGCGGCGGCAGCGAAGTAGGGTGCAGGAGAAGAAGAAGGAGAAGAAGAACAAAGGGAAGAGGAAAAAGAGGGATATGATGGCATGTGATGATATAAACACATCTTGGCATGATGATCCTTGTCTCTTGAATGTTCCATCGGCAAGAAAGGGAATGAACGGTTGTGATACACTGGAATCCCCTTGATTGGCCTCAATCCTTCTGATGACACATCAAGCAAAGAAACCCCATAATTTATGTGATTCATGTGAGTGGAGGAATTACTGGTAGTGCTAGCTGTTGACGTTGAAGCATTACTAGTGCTAGAATGGTGGTGAAGATTATGGAAATGGGCCTGTTGGGCTTGATAATAAGGGTTATTGTATGGTGGTGGTTCCTCATTAGGCGCTCCTCTTCCACCTCCACCACTGAAATTCCTCCCCAAAGAGAGCTCAGTATGAGCTTGAGAAGCAAAATTTGTACTTGTAGAATTGTGTGCTTCATAATTGGTGCCACCAGATGTGTTGTTATTGTTGCAAATCAAAGAAGAGGAAGTGCTTGGTGGGCTTATGTGAAGAGAGAGATCAGGAGTAGTAGAAGTTGAGGTGGGTGGTTCAATGAAAATCCCTTCCAAGGGCATCTTCTTTAGAAGGGGTATTTAGCTTGATGGTTACAGAATATATATATGAGAGATAGAGCTTCTTTTCCTTTATTCAGATCAGATTTTGAGACAAAGCAATTAAAGTGCAATATTCACAAGCAAGGGACTGTGTAATCCTTTTGTTTTGTTCAGTGTCTTCAACATATGCAATGAAATCAATTCCTTTTTTTTTCACTTCCTTCTCTCTATCTTCCTTTGCTCTTTTTAGGCTTTCCCCCGGGAAAGAATCTGGAAAGCTAACTCTAGCTATGTGCGAAGAAAACTTTGTGCTTTTAAAATTATATAAAAAAATAAATAAAAGAAAGAGAGAGAGAAGAAGATTGGAGAGAGAGAAAGAGAAAGCTAAGAAGAAAAGGAAGAATGAGTGATAGCAATCTTTAGTAAACAAAAACAGACATAGTGAAGAGAAAGCGGAAGAGAGTGTGAAAGTGTGACGAGAGGACGGTAGAGAGAGACAGATAGATAGGAAGAGATAGGAGGCAGTGATGTTCAGCTAACAGTGGAGAGATGGCAAAGGAATTTAATTTCTATTTTTCTGAAAAAATGGAAATAAAATGGAAAAGAACTTCGGAAAGGTATGGAAAAGAAAAACAGGTGGATTTGCGTTTTGTTTTCCTCGAGAGTATATCTTGGAAAATGACACTAGTGAGACGTATGATACACAAACATTTTTTTAAGTGTCGACGGATTTAAAATATTTACAAATGGGACATTAGAGGATAAGAAGACTACATATGCGGAATTTCTTAAATTTAATACATATATTATAGGCTCAAGCATCTATGTTATAAAACAGATAGACGTGATCAAGATGTGTTTGGTTTCGATGGATGGAATAGAAGGAACCCCAAGTTTTATAAACACGTGGTTTTGGGTTTAATTTGTCATTTAACTATGTATGAGAAAATCAATAAAGGTTAATTATTATTAATGTTCTTATAATTTTAAAGAATTTTTTTTTATAAAGTCTCAATAGTTAGCTCAGAAGGATGAATGACTATATTTGAAAATAAAACATAAAAATCAAAATTAAAAATTTTATACAAATTTTATCAACTCAAGTCAATAAAAATGTAAGTTTTAAAGAGCATTATCACAAAATGAAAATCTCAGCACCTATACAAGTGTGTAATAACATAGAAAATAAAAATGGAATAGTAAAAATTAGATATTTTTTATGTAGAGTAATGCAATTTATATTTTGAAGAAATAAATGTTTTTTATGTATAATTTTATTAATAAAAAAATTAGTATTACATTATATTTTAAAAAATGACATTCTTTGACTAGATATATATTAATTAATATGTATGGGTGAAACTAAACAAAATTATTATTTATTGCTTTATAAAATAAATAAAATATAATACAATTAAAAAAGTGTATAAAAACAAAAGGAAGGAGTAATTCAAATATAAGACTTAAGTGTTTCGATAGAGAATTATTATTGATGAATATAAAAACTAGTAAAAAAATCAAAATGTACTATTTTTTTTTCTTTTATCAAACTTGCATGTAAAGATTATATTATGTATATAAACTCGAATAATAATTTCATCCGATATTATCCAAAATGAAAAAGAATTTGAAACAGACAATTGTTATATTTTGAATTGAGCCTTAATTATATTTTATATAAAATATCATAAATGTTAATTAGTGTATTTAGGATATTAGTTAATAATTTAACAAAGAAAAAATTATTAATGCACACCTATTATAATTTTTATTGCATTCTAAAAATTTTCAACTAATTTTCTTAGGACACTAGTTGATAAGTAAGATATTAAAAATATAGTTACTTTTTATTATCTTTTTACATTTTGAAATTTTCTACTGAAAGCCTTCTTTACATTGTAGAAAGTATATATAAAAGAAAGTTATATTGTAAACTTCTGCTAGGTACCTACACACTATACATGCAACTGGTTGAAAGGATAACTTATTAAGTAGTAAAATCTAGTGAAAATATCTACAGTGATCACAATTGCATATTAAATATGACGGTGTAATAAAATTTTAAACTATTTTAACTAGATCTAATCTCTCTTTTCTGCTCGAAATGTTTTAAAATGTTACATTCTTTTGCTTTTTAATTTTTAAAGTATTGATTATTGAAGTTAAATGCACATTAACTAAACACATCTAGTAACAGAGAAGGGTGATATGGCCATAGTTCTTTCTCACTGTTTATATTTAACCAAAAATCATATGGTAACTTTAAATTAGATTAAACATATTAAAAACATAAAGACAGCATCATGTGTGATACCTTCCTCAACTCTTCTCACTGTTTAAATATATAAATATCTCTATATTTGCACAGTATTTAAATATAGAAAATATATTCTGTTTATTAAATTAATCAAATGGAATCTTATTTTCTTGCTTAAATCGGAAAGGTCAGTTATAGGACAAAGCTTTTATGTTGTTGCGATGTTCAAAATGTCATTGGATTTTTATAATGGTCAGTGTACTAACTACTATTTAAGAATTATAACAGAAAACAGAAGAGAAAAAAACATTGACCCAAGTGAGAGTGAGAAAAAGCTACACAAAGGGGATTTTGTTTGCTTCTCCGTTTGTAATACATCTGAAAAAGTAAAGCTAGTTTAATTAGTATCCCTCAAATGGTAAATTATATTCCTCTAATTTTTTTATCTGTTATTTTATGTTTTTGTACAAAAAAAACAAAGAATATATTTAATGTTCTGATTTTTATTAATTAAATTATCATATAATTTTAACTAAATCTATTTATCTCCAATATTTTTATTTTGTTTTTAACTACGTAAGAAAGTGCTGAGTAGACGCATTGAGGTCTCTAAACTAAAAGGGATAAAAAAGAAAATAATTATAATAATAGATATGATGAATAATATAATATAAAAAATGGAATGAATATAATAATATTGCTAACATGTTTATAAATAAAAGTTACAACTATAAATAAGTTCTAAAAAAATAAAAACAAGCACTCCAACATAATGCACTCTCCATTTTTCCTCTTGAAATGATTGAAAAAACCTCTCGCATTAATGACCAAGTTGAGGGAGTGTTAGGGTTTCCAAAACCCTAGGCTAAATCAAAGAGAATCATAATTTATTATACACGATACGGGATCCTTAACTCTTGCTATCGGGAACTAACCCCTAAATTTAATGGATGATACCGTAGAGAAAATTATAGAAAATATTAATAAATATTTTTAAAGCATCAGTTAAAAAATTTAAAATATATTTTATTAAAAATATAAAAATATTTAATTTTATGATTTTAAATATATTTTAATAAAAACTATTATTTATTAATTTTTATTTAATATTCTTAAAATATTAAATAATAAAATTTTGAAAAGATTCAACATAAAAATACTTGTATTTTAGAAAATTTTTATCTTTTGCTCTAGTTCTTTTTTACAATTTTTTTTTAGTCTTTATTATTAATTTAGTTTTCTAATATGTTATTAGATATCAATTTTTAATTAAATTATTTTAATCACACAAATTTAAAATAATTTATTAAAATATAGAAAATAAAAATATATTTAACCTATTTTAAAATTATTAGCTTTGACTAGTTTGGGATGAGGTGTCAACCTTTTAATGGAACACTTAATTATGAAGGGTTTTTATTGAGTTTGGCACAGTGCCACCATGGGCAAGGAATCGATTGAAGGAAACACTAATTCGAATACACTGTTTGGAAATTGGAAGGCTCATTAAATACAAAATAAGGGTACAGAGAATGGCATTTTGGGTCTTAAACTCTTTTTCCTTCTAAACCTTCTCTTTCTTTTCTCTGCGTTGTGGCAAGAATGGTCTTTAACCGACATGTACAGTGAAGTTGTTAAATATTTCATTCAAATTTGTTCGTCGTATAATGGCAAATATTGAATGAAAACCAGTTTTTCAGATAGCCATCTTCCAATTTCATAATTCCCTTAATCAGACTTTTGTCTCATCACACGTGGGAGCTTTCATATATATATATATATATATATATATATATATACATTATTATTTATATCTTTAAATATATATTACAATCTATCTAGATAAACACACACTTGCAGGAATATAGAAAGTGGGCTACTCCTGCTTGATCAAGAGCTAGCATAAAAAACATCATAATCATTAAGATATAATATAACATCAGTTCTAATAAGAAATTTCTAAGTTAGCTAACTGGGAGTTATAAAGAATATATTGAATTCTAATCATTTTGTCATCAACAAGTATAATGTCATAATCATGATTCGTAATTTGATATGTTATCTCCAACAGGTAAATCTCCCAATCTGTAAGGTTTTGTTGAAGTTTCATTAGGAACTAAATGAGGGATGAAATTTATTAGACGAGAATATATATAAATATATATCTTTTAATTTCCTTTTGTACTTTGTGTGATTAATTGAATTTCTATATAATTTTGTTTTGACTGAGCTTTGACAATATGTAGCTGAGAAGAAAAAAAATTCTGGGTTTGAGTCAAATAGCTATATACCTCCCTTAACATGGATGAATATTCTGGACATGTTTACACAGTCAAAATAGAGTATGACTCTGAACTGCTATAATAATTGTATGTAAATAATGGTCTGAAATTCACACACACACATATACAAGTCGGCGACTTGGTCCTTCGACTCAGCCGAGGGAGCCGACACATTGGATGTAAAATTCAACTGCAAAATCCTATTAATTATTATTATATTATTAAATACATTTCTCTCTCCAAAAACAAAAAGGCTTTTCTTTCCGAATATTAATTTAAGGATAAGATATATCAAACATGTGTATATATTATTCAAATTTTTATTAAAAGGGATCTAACATGTTTTAATAAAGTTATATATATATATATATAAAGAGAGAGAAATGATTATGAATAATGTGAAAAATATTTGTTTACATAGTTTTAAAATAAAATAAAAAAAAATAGTTATAATTTGAATGAGTAAAGCATAGCATATAAAAAGCAGAATGGTTAGGAAAGGTGGGAATAAGATTTGGTTGACAACATAATAATACTAGCTTTTGGAAATTGGGCATTCATCATATTTTGATGATTGTCTGAGAACAGGTTTTTGCCCACAATCCACATGCATCGCATTTATTGGCTGTCAGGTTGACAAGAATGTATGGCGGAGAATGTGGAATAGCCTGTACCATCACACCTAGTTTATTCGGTGCACACCCTACACCATTCTAATCATGCTGCTTCATCTATCATCCACCATTTGATTATAAATATATAATTTTAATTATTAAGTGCTGTACATGAATTCATCTAGCTTTGTAAATTTCATATACAGTTTCTCTAAATTTTCACCCTACACCATTCTTTTACCTATTATTTTTATCCTTTTATCTACCAATTTCAAGTGTAATTTCAATTTTATTTATTCATCTTTACCTATTATGTTTTATATAAATATTAAAGGGTGTAAAAGAATAATTTTTTT